CCCTGAAGCTCTGCAAGTCGCTACCCAGACCCTCGGGCCACTGGTTTGGTCCACTGTTGAGCTTCTTGTTGATGAAGTAAGGGTGGTCCTCAGGGATCTCGGCACCAATGTAGAAGCCTTCCTTGAGTTCTGGTTGAGTTCCCTCCTCAAGGATCTGTGATCTCAACATCTCGTAGCCGCGGTTCCATGTCGTGTTCTCCTTAGCGACCTTTTGCTTTTCTTCGAGAGGCATAGCAAAGAACTTCTTGGCACCGCTCATGGCAGCCTTCTGCTGCACCAGAGGCACGGAGTGGCCAACTATCTGGAAGAAGCCATTGTACAGGCAGCTGTCACGCACTTGGTCTACGACCTTTTGTTTCTGAAGAGGGTCTTCAGAGTAGAAACCTAAGGGTGGATATCACTGTTAAGACCAAGCTAACCTTTTTCGGCTGCTGCAGCACGAGGTTCTTTGCAGACTCACCAGAGAAGTCAATGATTGGAATTTCGAGCGCTGCCATGTTGCCTTATTGGAGTATTCCCAGACGGAAGATGGTATCGTCTTTGAAAATACCTTGATCTGATGCTATGATGTTGGCTGATCGCAAGCTTATGGGTGCCGGTGTCATATGTCTTTAGAACATCACTCAATCTTGTCGTAATAGATCTTTGCTGATATAGTTGGAGTTGCTTCATGAGATGCCTGGAACCCTGCTCACTCAATTCATGTGAGCCTTAAGGTCATCCACCCCTCTCCCTTCGCGTCTCGGCTCCTCGTGCTCGCCCAGACTGGACTCTTGAAGAGTGGGGTGCAATGATAGCATCTGGTGTGGTCGCACCATCTCACGGCATCGCCCGAGAGTAAGTTCGACAGCTCGAAATTGATACCACCTTACTCACTGATAAGCGTTGGTCACACTAAGGAAGATTACTCGCCGCGGATGGTGTTCCGTTCTCGGCCTCCATTTCTCCCCCGCCGGAAAACCCACTTTCCCCTCATGCTACGGATAGATAAGATCTACTCCAAGATAGCTCCTCCGAGGGCCCAACAAATTCTCCTGCATATGCATACTCATGCGAAGAGTTCCTTTGTAGGATTAGAGGTCATAGTAGAAGCATGTTGATCGCCATGCAACCCGGGCTTGCAACTACGTCGCACTAAAGATGGATTGGGAGTTCGGTGAGGGCTGTAAAGTTCAGCGAATCGTAACCGCAATTTTGGATGCTGTGCATGCTTGGAACCCCACTCTTGGTGATAGTCTTTCTAGAGTCATGTGGCGACTGGACTTCAGGCCAGAATCCCATACGAACCTGCAACCAAGCTGGCAAGCTGGAGACTAAGTCCCAGTCAATTTTGAGAGGGATCAGGGTTTACAGTACTTTTCTAGAAGCAGCAACAAGACCTGACTGACCTACGCACACACCAATGCTCTCGCCGTCGTAGCTCAGTCATCGGCGCTACATCACAAACAAGTCACCAACCTAGACAGAGGAAAGGGATGCTGTCGTAGAGAACTAGATTGCAGTTTGGTTCGAAAGGGTAGAAACCCAGATGCTAGGAAAGTCACGAGGCTAAACCAACGCTGAAAGTTCCATATGCCATCATACATCGTATTCCGTACAGCCAGGCCGTGCCGATATTGGTCATCACATGCACCAACAGAGCGTATGGCTCACCAGGCTAGTTCCTCTCGGCCACCACAGTTAGCTTTCTCGAGTTCCGAGCAGAAAGCCTCGTCTTCATTCAGTTTCCCTGTGCCCGTCTGGCCGAGTAGGTTGGGCGTGGCTGGCCAGATTTCTCGGCCTCCTTGCTCCAACTCCCTTTGCCGGTGCTTCATCACCTCCTCTCGAACCGTGTTTTGAAAATGAATCGGGCCCTGAGCGAATGTGTCAGTATCGGACTGTAGTGCTGGGGGTATCAAAAGTTCCTTGCCGTACCCTCTCTTTTTCTGGATGAAGCTCGCCGCTAATGAAGACGCCAGCACTGAGGTTTTCCTGTGCGCCAATGCACAACTCTCGGTCTTCCTCTAGCACCTGCTTGTAGAACGCATTGATGGCGGCGAACTCGGCATCGGTGGAGTCGTGAGAGCGATACACCTCGTTCTCGATTCGGGTTTTGGTTGCGCTGATTGGAATCATTCGCTGGATGTAGAAAAAGTTCTGACTAAAGGTTTCGTCAGTTTCTGCCCTTTTGTGACTTCTGAATCTTGGTACTCGTTATAAGGTCACTTACGTGATCGTCACTGAAGTTGAGGGGTAAAAAAAGGTGATCGAGCGTCGAAACTCGTCTTCCTCATCTTGAGCCTTCTTGTTGATGATCTCGTGCTCCAAGCAACCTCCACTTGGCTTTACTTGATATTTCGTCAAGTCCGACACTCCCGCAATCAAGGGGTGTGATGTTGGGCAATGGTAGCACTCGTTGTAATTCTCGATGACGGCCTTCCAGTTGGCCTCCAGCTCCATATCCCAGACGTGGTCATAATTGTAGCCTCCTGCAAAGTCAAAGTTTTGCATCCGCGGCTTCTGGTAGACACCGCCAAACTCGTCTTCCCACTTGACGTCTGGTTCGCCTGCTTGGAGGTTAACCCAAATGAAGCCAGCGGGATCCACGCGAACGTGGATTGGGAGAAGGCCATTTTGGCTCTTGTCGAAGCCGGTTACCGTATCGAATCTCGGCGCTTTGGCAAGATTGCCCTTGAACCCGTATGACCAGCCGTGGTACTTGCAGCTTAGTATGCTCGCCTTGCCAGACTTCTTCTCGACGACAGGATATGCTCGGTGGCGGCACACATTGTGAAAACCGTTGATATTGCCATCGCGGTCTTGGACGAGGAAGAAAGGGAAGTCGGCGTAGACGAAGGAGACAAACTCGCCCGCTTGCTTGAAGCGTAGCGAATGTGTCACCAGGATCCACTTTCTTGATATAATTGCTCTTCTCTCGAGCTGATGCAGTTCTGGAGACCTGTACCACGAAGCTGGAAGACTTCGTGAAGGCTCTGGCTTGGCGTCGTTGCTTGCCGAAGAGAATCCAAGGAAACGCAACATGTCGTTGAGGCTGAGATGCAATGAATTGTGGGTACTTGTTATAGAAGACGCAAACAACTGTTGCAACGAAGTCTTTGATTGGGATCACAGTCTGAAAACTATGGGTACTGCATCTCTAATCCTGTCTCCCCTCGCGCCTTCATGTTTGATGACCTCTGCTACTTTAAGACCGCAATTCGGAGGCATGACTTTAGGCCAAGAATTAGTCTAATCCGTACGTATCAGAGGTGGGGAAGATGCTTTGGTGAGTTGCTTGATAATGCTATTGAGAATGGGGGTGGGGTTGGTGGCTATTAGGCTGAGGGGGCTGGACACAAGCATCCGGATGTTGATAAGGGGGCCTATAGATCCGATAAAGGCAAGTCGGAGCAGGTCGGGCGCCGGAATTCAATTGCGATGGCCACCCAAACGCGCGGGGTATCGACATGGTGGCAGATAGTGATAGAGTAATTTTACCTATTTCAGTTGAAAATGGTGAGTTGACACATATGATAAATAACAAAAAGATCATATTGGTCGCTGGCACGAGCCTGGGAAAGGAGAAGCCGCGTCTAAGCGAAGATGGCGGCGATTCGAAGTGCGCCAGACCAAGTGTCGACCTCGATTATGGCTAGATTGAGGCTTTACCATTTCCTCAGTCTGAGACTACTACTGCTACCCCACTACAAAGACCAGCAAACATTTCTTTTGAATCCCAGTCGTGGAAACATGTGATATACGGGAGTAACTACATGCAAGTGCCTACGTTTAGACGACCCATCTAAGTCCTATGGTGCTCCTCGAAGTAATTGCCACATGACACAGAACCGTAGTAGGCTGCATGCAATGATTTTAGTACGCGACTCTATGGATTGCACTTAGGTAAAGACTGATCTAACATGAGGACTTGCTCGAAGTATAAGACATCAATTTCAAGCTCCAGCACTCAACTATCATCAGAATTTGACGCATCTACTTAAGTAAGATCATTGTCACCAAAATGCCCCCGGCTATTTGCCCAAAAGACCGAAGAATAGCACCACTAGACTTGGAGCACAGTCTCTGCATTCTTGCCACTTCAAACATCGGAAAGAGGTCTTTGATTGGATGAAGAAGTCAGTCGGTCTCTCTGAAAAACTGCAATCTACTATCCTTCAGTCTATGAACACGTGCACAAAGTCGGATGCGGGCGGCGCAGCCTGAAATGCCCGACCCGCATTGGAATTCCATAAGTTTGAAATTGGTATCACAGGCTGTCTCCCACAGGTTCAACTTAGCCAAATTCTGCGACAGAAGCCGTTTTGTGGCATCAGGCAGAATGGCTTTCGAATTGGGCCGCCAGGCTCGATGGTTCGCCCGCGTCCAATACGTCAAGCTAATGTGATTCGCTGTGGCACCAACTCTCCTCATATGTAAGCAATGCGGACGAAAGCGCTGACAGGAGCTCGCGCTGACCTGTCATATGACATCTCAAGAAAGCCTAAAGCAGGCTGCAGCTCGGTCTCGTGAGCCACCGCTGAATCGAGCCACAAGTTGTTGTAAAGGTTGCCATATGTCATGATGCAGGCGGTGCAGCGGCTTTGCTTGGACGGCTGGGCTTGAGAGCGCCTTTGATTTGGCAAAAAGTGTGGCTCAACCATTAACAATGCCTAAATTGTTGAGATCTGACTGCCTTGCGCGTTGATTCGCCAATGGACGAGACCAGATCGAGCCAGACGCGTGGTTTCACTGCCCGGTTCCAGCCCAAGGTTGCCTTGCCTGATCTGACCCTCCACGTTGGCCAAGTCGGCTTTTTATTCCATTTCGCATTGTGACTCTCATGTAGGGGCGCTCTTGTGCTCTTGAGTCATCAAGGACCGGATGATTTCGGGGGCGTTTGATATTTGGCTATTATAAGAACCCGTTCCCCTCTTGACGAGGCCTTCCTTTCCGCGAAGAAACCGCCTAAAAGCCTTGCGTAAGGTATTTCACCATCAGATCGACCAGTCTTAGACGACAACATGACGCATCGAAAGCATGCCACCAAAGGCTCTCGGAAGAGTAGTCCGACTCGAGAGTCGCCAGCAGATACTTCCAATGTAGGAGCAGCCTATGAAGAATACTATGCGGCCCCAACTCCTGGCCCTTGGTCGTCATGGGTCCGCGATGCTGAGGGCAGGGGATTCTACTACAGAAGCCGAATGAGCGCCACAGGTTTGTTTTGAGTCTCTTTCACCAAATCATGTTGCTTATTTCTGACAATGTGGTAGGAGATATTGAGTGGGACTTTTCGCGCTCGCCAACGTATCGGAGTTATAACTACATGCAACCATTGCCACGGATGTCCTACTATCAGCAACCCATCAAGACAAGCCCGAATGCAGCAACTGCATTCACATACACGTTCCGTTATCCGTCCAACTCAGCACCGCGGGAAGACCAGCCGACAGCAGGATCTGACTTTTCCCACGATGCAAGCGACGAAGAGTCATTTCCTGCCGCGAGCTCCAGTGTTTTAATACCAGCCATCATCGACGTGGACACCAAGAACAATGTCAAGGTTATGGTTCCGGATCCGAGAACCGGAGAAGCGAAGACAATTTATGACAACAGGCATAAGCATTCCCATAAGAAGAAAATGAGCCCGCAACACAAGGTTGAGAACTGGCTGCACAGAGGGTAGATTAAACTTGGAGAAGGCACAGTTGCTGTCTTTGATATCCATGATCAGTGGATTGATCTTGTCAATATGTACGAACACCGATTTCCGGGAGCAAAAGCAGGGATTTGCCTCACATTAGTAGAGATGTCCTTTGCAAATGGTTTTAAGATAGGTTTTAATCGCATAATCAAGTACATGCAATTTGGACTCTTCCTGCAATCATCCTATACACAGGCGGTTCAGGCATTACGGCCTCCCAGGACACACATCCATTATAGCTCGTGCATCGTGACGACAGAACACCGTTGATTATATTTCAACGTGTGACTTCTTGATCTCGCGTCCTCGTGAGACCAACGTGATGTGTGGCTGGAGTCCGGACCCCAGACTAAACGCGCTAAGATGCCCCATCCAGTGGGTTGGGCTAATCGAAGTTTCTTGGTCTATAGAGAAGAGGCAGCTAGTCGTGAAGATTGGTGGTTCACAGATCATAGATCCATAGCCTATCTAGGATAAGGCTTTCTCCCAGACCTTCTTATTTTCTGAGATATTGGTTGGCAAAATTCCCTACTGCTAGAAACCGTTCTTTAAATAAGACTTGGTCCTTAAATCTGACTCACATTTTAGTTCGCGTTTATTTTCAATTGGTTCTAGGCGGGATCCTTCGTCGATACACTTATCCAATGCCTGTAGCCACACCATTCTGTAATCAGGATGGCCATAATGGCTCGTGCCAAAATTTCCAGGTGCAGCCTATTATCCGCGCCCAGAGTAGCCTATTCGAAAGGGCCTTCTGTCAGACCCTTAAGTATTTGATCCCTTCGATCCGTCGGTTCTTCGAAATATTCCCGAAAGGTGTCTCACAAATCTGCCACAAAAATTCCTGTCCTAGGTACTCGCCTTTGAACTTGCGACCATGCCCGGAGGCTTGTCTCCCGCGGGCTTCCGCCCACGGAGCTCAAGCCAAGTGAGGGTGTATTCCCACGAAGAAATCATCTTTCCAAAACTCTACGAAGAGGCGTGGGGCAGCGATGGGTTCGGCGATAATCGAACGGAGCTGGAACGAGCCAGAATCTTCCTCATGCGGTTTGCGAAGATGAATCCTGATCCATTTACGAGCCAAGAGCTGCAATCAATCGTCATGAACCACGAAAATCGGACGATACCGGCGCTAGCTCTTGCAGTGCAGATGAGGATCTTTGGAAATCGCCACGATAGCTTTGCGGCGACGCCTCTTCTGCAATGCATACGGTTTATGCTCTTGAAAGCCAGGGTCCCGGAGTTCATATTTTCGGACAAAACGAAGCTTATTATGGATTTTTACTTCGATCCAACGATGGCAAGAAGCATTGAGCCTCCACCACCAGATGGTATCGTCTACAAATATCCCTCCGGTCGTCTCAAGATTGCTATTGTAGGCGGTGGGCCAACAGCGCTAGCATCAGCAATATCTCTCGCCGAGAAGGGTGCTGGGAAAATTCAGGTCCACGTCTACGAAAGGCGGTGGGTCGTCAAAGATGGGCCGAGGGGACCTTATATCGACTACCCCTCGACAGCCAGGCGTCGTGATCAGGTTGTCACGCTACAAGAGTCGGTCACGACGTTGATGAGTAAAGCAACTCAGCAGGCATTGTTTGAAGGTCGTCCAGAACGAGTCTGGCCGGGCTCAGCCAATATTCAGATTCGCAAAGTCGAGGATCGTCTTCTCCGGAGATGTCACGCCGCCGAATTTCAGGATCTCATTCACCTCCACGCGGAAGGTGTGACGCATGAAGATATGGTGAAGATTGGCGACTTCCATGTTCTTCTGGGAGCCGACGGAGCTGCATCGTGGGTCCGCAAATCGTATTTCCACGGATATGAAAATGAACGTGGGCGAAGTTATGCCCTGGGCCTCGCATTTGATCGGCCGGCCGGTCTGCCATGGTCGCAACCCCTGAACGTCTTCTTGACTCTGGGTCAGACTCGGTATCTCCTGAACGCTAGTGACTACGATGGACGTGGATACCTCAACATGCAACTCACAGAGGCAGAGTGGCACAAGATGCTCGCCAAGGATGGCCAGCCAGTCACCTTTGGATATCCTGGCTGCCTCCGAAACCCCGATGGGACTATACCGAAAGGCTTCACAGAGAACCAGGTCTTTGCACCTTCAGAAGACAGAGAGAGTTCATTATGGAGGTCAATTTCTGACGGCCTCAAGCTCTTCGGCTTCAAAGAAAGCGAGGTCATCAATGTCGTCCGGATTCCAATTGTTGTCCAGGCTGTACGAGAAGGCATCCAGTATCTGCCGCCTTGTGACTCGGGGGCGATCAATCGGCCACATGCCCTCGTTGCAGTGGCAGGAGATGCTGCTATGACAGTTCACTTCTGGCCAGGCCGCGGCCTCAATAGTGGTGTTAAGTCAGGCATCGCTCTAGGAGACGAAATTGTCCATGCGCTCAATGGGGGCAAATTCGTTGGGTTGCCTCTTACCGCTATGAATCAGTACAATGACTTCATCATGAAGTTGCAGGACCGCGAGCATGACAAGCGCAGTATCCCGATACTTAATCAGTCCGGTACACCAGAGACCTTGGGCTGGCTACTCAGCAAGGCAAATACGGTCCCGGACAACGTTGCAATCGAATGGCTTGTGGGTGCAATGGCTCAGATTGCGGAACGACTTGAACAGAGAGGCGACTGGGCCTTTGGCCCCGTGGCTAACGTCGAGCCTCAACTTCGGATAGTACTGCGACAGATGGACTCTGCATCGCTTAGGGAGATGGCAGTCAGCTTCCCGTGGCCAACACGAGAAATGGGCGGTGCCGAGGTTCTCCCTCTCCGGTCTATGAAGCCAGAAGAGAAGCAAAGATGGCTTCAGGGTATCTGGGGGCTATTGCGAGACGAGGTCGGCCGAGACTCGCAAAAGCGTCCTCCCTCCCGTGGAGATCGAGGACGGCCACAGTCTACATCACGATTTGAGGCCCCGCGTGGTGCTGCCCTGCATCCGCCTAGAGCCGTTTCGCCGTCGACACAGTTCCTATCGCCAACGCCTGATAACGCTGCACCAAGCCGCTCAGAGTCGACATTACGGAGAAGCAACGCCAATCGAGGAGGCATGTCACCAGGCCCCTCGGAGCGGACACTAGCTGTGCCCAATGAGCTAGATGGTATGTCATTTTCACGGCCACGCTCACCATCTATGGGTGGTGAAATACCGTTGGGAAGATTGCTTAGCGTGAGTCAGCGTCCGGGCCGCGCCGTTTTGGCCGATGCTATGTCGTTGGCACTATTTCGTGTCGACGGGGATTGATAGCTGAAGGGGAGATGATGCACCCATATTCGTGCTGTTGAATAGCCATGATCGTCGGAATCATATCGCAGGCATGTAGAGGCGACCTAACTTGGACTTTTGCTATGCTCTTGTGCCTGAACTTCTAAAGAGTACATTCGCGAGAATTGGTTACATTGCGATTTTCTCACTGAAATCAACTAGATTTGAAACTGTCTATCCTTAAGTTAAATCTACAAAGAAATCAGATAGATTTCTCTATCAATGTCGATGTGCAAGTAGTATTCCTACTCCGTCATGACTGGATGACTTGCAAGCAAGATGGCGCCTTAGCTGGCTCGGCCTCGCGACTTTGATTCCTCGGACGACTTTGAAGGAATCTCCATAAATCATGCCAGAAAATACGAGTGTCCAATGCTTTTAGTATTACGAACGATCGGTGAGATCTGGATGTCCAAGAAGCGGTATGTCCGCATAATTCCGAAAATCCGTATGTCCTCTGGCCGAACCCTTGGGTATTGGGCTCCACCATGACTCAAAACCCACTTCTTGCCCGCTCTGCTATAACTAGAGAAACAGAGGGACACGAGCATGTGAAAAGAAACTTGTGACTCTATGTTAACTTGAACTGGGGATAGAAGATCGTTATGAACTACGCTGTTTTGACACGGCTGGCAATCACATGCTTCTCTCCTAGACCTTCGGTAGAGGGCAGTCCAAATCTGAATCACTTCAGGAGGCCTTGGAGGCGCAGAAAACGTAGTTACGTGCAAATAAGCCGCCCAACGAGTTACCAGGTTAATTTGCCCCTGTCCCGGTATTGTGAAGGTTAAGTCTGGAGTGACCCGCTCGCAAAGGCCCCGACCCGGGGTCCGGAGTGGAGCCCACGAACTGCCGAAGCGGGTCCGGTTCCATTAGTTACTGGCTAAATCCCGTCGTCAACCCGTCGGTTGAACATTCAGTTTAATTATCCGGACGAAAACGAGAAGCTTAAAAATAAGGAGTCTTTGTGTCAGCACTGACGGCTGTGGGGGTCATCTAAGATACCTTCATTCTAGCCTAAGCCAAGCAGCCGTCAAGGAAGGGGCTTTCACGATGACAACTTCCGACCTCTCCGAAACACGACGCTAGAAATTGAGATATATCCACAATTCTCAGTCGAAGTAGCGTCCGCTGGGAAAGCATGGGCGCGCGATCCACGCATAAGTGGTTCCCCTCTAGTCTCCAGATTTCAGACTCCATGACGGCATTGTCAGCTATTCTTCAGCACGTCACGCGAGCCAAAGTCGGCCGTCATTAGGTTGAGTGGAGGGGCGCACGGCATTACGGAAGTCCATGATCGTGGGCCGAACCTACGAGAAGACTAATCCGAAAGTCCCATAGTTTCGCGGCTTCCCGTTCCTTTAAAGCAAAAAGTCCACAATGGATTCCACCTCTCAGAGTGCCAAGTCGGACTTTTCCCTGGTTTTGGCTTTTCTTGCTCAACTCTTCAATTGCGATGATGGTGGGCATGAGATAGCCAGATAAACGCGACATGACTTGTACTTACTTTAAAACCCGCGTCTGCGCTGTCGTGGAGGAGTTCTTGGAGGTGGCCGAACAGGCTCAAGCTCGCTCGACTGGTTAACACCTTGAGAAATGCCTTCCATCAGCCTAGCAGCGGCCGTCGCCGCGTTCGTCGCCCTCGCGGATGCGTCTTCAGTACTTCTTCGTGGTGGTACGATTATTGGCTTCGACGAGTCAAGCAATTCACTGAACGTCATCCGCAACGGCTCTCTTCTCATCACGGACGACCGCATCACTTCCATCTACACTTCAGATCAGCCCTTGCCGCAATCATCCAACGACACGGAAGTCATCGATGTCACGAACAAGATCATCACACCGGGCTTCGTTGACACCCACCGCCACGGTTGGCAAACAGCTTTCAGGACCATCGCCTCGAATACTTCGCTCGCGGAGTACTTCACGCGCTACGGCGAGTACGCTGCCGCTGGCCTCTTGAGTGCCGACGATGTCTATATTGGCCAGCTCGCGGGTCTCTACGAGGCCCTCAATGCCGGTGTCACGACGACGCTTGATCACGCCCATCACACTTGGTCTGATGAGACTTCGGAGGCAGGGTTGAAGGGCAGCATTGACAGCGGCGCGAGAGTCTTCTGGTCGTACGCCTTTCACAACGTCACTAACTTTACCATCTCGGAGCAGCTGGAAAACTTTAGAAGCATAGCGACCAAAGCCGAGTTTGACGGTACTCCTACCACCTTGGGAGTGGCGTGCGACTTTTTTGGGACCGACGGTGTTCTCGCGGATATTACTGCAGTTGTCGATCTTGCTAAGTACGTCGTTTAACGCAAGTTGACAGTGAAAGTCTTTCTAATAGGCGGCAGAGAGTTCAACGTCTCAGTGATTACAACGCATAGTCTGCAGGGCCCTTGGGGAAGTAAGCTTTTGGCCCTAACCACGTAATAGTACAGCTCTCATATTGACCACTTCATAGACACCAACAGTCCAGAGGATGTCCATGCTATCGGAGCACTCAATACCAGCATTCCGGTCGTCTTTTCGCACGCGTCATTCCTCACCTACAAGGGCGCATCACTCCTCCGCTCCACCAACCAGTATATCTCAATCACGCCAGAATCGGAGATGCATTACGGTCACACACATCCTCACAGCCATCTGATCCAAGATCAAGGCTCCCTCGGTGTCGACACTCACTTCACTTTCTCAACCGATATCCTTACGCAAGCCCGCCTATGGCTTCAGAGCACTCGCCGCCTACTCTATCAACAAGTCCTCGCAAACTGGCGCGTACCTACCAGCACGCCGATGACTGTCAATCAAGCCTTCCTCCTCGCTACAAGGAACGGCGGACTTGCTCTTCGCCGCCCGGATCTGGGCGTCATAACCGAAGGCGCCAAAGCCGACGTGGTTGTCTGGAATGGCGAGAGTCCCGCCCTCCTCGGCTGGGTTGACCCTGTCGCTGCTGTAATTCTACACGCTAGCGTCGCCGATGTCGAGCACGTCCTGGTGGACGGCAAATTTGTCAAGAAAGACTATAAGCTAGTGGTGCCTGACTATGAGGACGTCAAGACGCGGTTCCTGGACAGCGCAAGGCAGATCCAGCAGACTTGGAGGGATATCCCATTCTCAGCTCTCGAGGGAGAGTTTAGCAGCTCGGAAGCTCCCTATGAAGCTCCTCTATCGGTCGATGTCCTGCCCGGAGGTGAAAGTGGATACGGTACCACGTTTGTTTGAATACCGGTGCCGCGGTAGCAGGCTGAAAGCACATATGCCAAGCCTGTGCTCCAAAGGTTTAAGGGCGTACCTTAATAAAGCCAATGATATTAATGTAGTATTTGCGAGTTACGAAAAAACGCTTAATGAAGCTTGAGTTTATTTGATGATAATAGACAAGATGAATTAACCCTTTGCCATACGTTCAACTCACCTCCTGAAGTTCCAAACTTACATGTACAATACATAGTTTAATTAAATTTTGCTAGGTTTGAAATATTTGATGTTGCATCGGAATCTATCATGAACGTTCAAGCTATTTAGTCCACTTTTGAGGATCTAGAGTCGTCGGTTCCTTGGTGCCGAGATGATGCGCCGGCGGGATACCGGGCGGTTTAGATGGCGCGAGACACCTTGCCAGTCTCCACTTACATCTCCTCATCTCCGCCCGCCGCCTGTCGCGTTATCTTTTCCGGGATCATCCTATCTGCTTGCCAAGTCGAGGGGAAGCTGGAGGCTAAGACAACTTCAACCCACAAGATACTCCATCATCAACGTTACCCAACCCATCAATAGTGTTGAACTCTCTGTCGTCCTGAAATTCATCCCAGTCTTCGGGTGGCGCAATTGCCAAAGGTTTAGCTCCTTGCGATCATAATCATTAGTGTCTCTCAAATGGTCCAACGACTTCATCGAGAAGCCGGGTTGCAGGCCTTCCTTAGCGCAATAGAAGAGGATGGGTGCGCTATCATCAAAGACTTCACGAACCAGGCTTCACTTGATGCTGCGCATGAGGAAGTGCAGCCGTATCTCGATGCGTCGCTTGCGCAAGCTGGAAGTACCGTTGGTGCTCTGAACGGTGGGACTGCGACTTGTACGAGGCTCGTTGGTCGAAGCAAAACTGTCCGCGAGAAGTTTTTCTCAGACTCGTTATACCAGGTGCGCTTACAACATCTTTATCGTGTTTATGAATCCATTATTGACTAAGACCGGCTTCCACAGGACATTGCCGATCACTTCATTGGGCTTAAGACCGAACTTTGGTACGGAGATGAACCCACCATCCACAAATCCGAGCCTTTGCTCTCGATCTCCATCACAATGTCCTCTCAGCCGGGAGCAAAAGCACAGAAACTGCATCGCGACGACAAAAACCATCATGCGAGGCACATCAATGCTAGTCACTACACAAAGGGACGCGATATGCTTCTTGGCCTATTCGTTCCGGAATGCGATACGTTTGAAGCAAACGGTGCCACCCTGATCGTTCCCGGGTCACATCTGTGGGGCGATGAAAAGCCTGACTTTGGAGAAGATGGCCAAAAAGGTGTTGAAAACGCGGAGTTGAAGAGAGGCGAGGCATTTGTAATGTTGGGCAGTTTGTACCATGGCGCTGGACAGTATTCCCTGGAGAAGGGATGTCGAACAGTGCACATCATGTTCATGTGCAGCGGCGTTCACCGTCAAGAGGTAAGAGACTGTAGGCTTCAACCTTTACTACAAAGTACGGTTACTCACGGAAATGCAGGAGATTCCATATCTAAGCTACCCGATTGAAGATGTCAAGACATACTCAAAGCTCGTGCGTGACCGTCTTGGCTGGAAGCAGTCGGAACCCAACTTGGGATGGGTTGATTTGAAGTCTCCAGAGTACCTCCTAGAATGATGCTACAATGATGGAATAACTGATTTTACTTTCTTCGATAACAAGGTAAGGTAGTTAGGAACAACTAATTGGATAGTTTGAGTCACGGGTTCGCCAACCTGTATGGTCCCGGGGTGACTGCGATAACCCTAAAGGTCAAGGCTCATTTTCAGTGACACATCAAGGTAGCCAGCCGCAAGCACGAGGTTTCAGTTCCCGCGAGAAACGTCGAGAGGCAAATGTTTCATGGCCTATTATGCAGTCAAAGTCTATTATGACAGCAAGCAAGACGTCTAACATGAGCCGCTCCAGAGGACCCTTTTTACCATGTCTACAAAGGTTTTATGGAAGACTATAAAATGGGACGGCGATCGCCTTTGAGTCATGAAAACTTTTCCTCCTTCTTGCGTTGCCAATTTTCAAGCTATCTTCAGCTCGAAAGCCTAATCTTTGCCCACACTTCCAGCATGAAGATCTATTCACTCCTCTCCGCTGCTCTTCTCAGCGGCGTAATGGCCGCCCCAGCCCCCACAGAAGACCAAATCGCAAAGGTACCAACGCGCATCTCTAGACAGACACTCTACAATATTCGAAAGGCCTGTCCGACATGCACCATCACAGCCACCCATGTTCTCCGCAGCAACTCAGATCCGAACTGTCCTGAGATCAACGACTGTTGCAGCGCCAAGGCTCCGATAAGCTGTTACGAAGACGGCAAGTTCAACATCGCACCGAAATCTACACCAAAACGGGATCTCGAGCCGATAAGCAAAATTCAGAAGCGGCAGTGTCACCCCTGTTGCACCGATGGCGATGCTTGGCCACCGGAAAAGCGCGGACGCTGGTGGGGATGCAAGAACGTCCCGGGGTTGGATTGCAGAAAGTGCATGAGCCCACCGGAATGGGAGTGGATTATTCCTGGGGGTGTTAATGAGAAAGAAAGGGAAGATACTGGAGACATACCTTGAGTCCTTGAGCATTCTCGAACTCTATCACGTCGACTAAGGCATGATGGGTCACAGCCTCGAACGCGAGACACGACCGCACTTACACTGGAAGATCAGGAGGATGAGTTCAGCACGATTTACTTGGATGAACATTATGTGTTTCGAGACTTGGCGAGATGTATAGGTAGAGAGCGCTTAGTACGCACATGTTCAAAGTCAGCAAAACTTAGTCAACTTTCTGAAGTCCTTCCCAAATTCACAAGTCAAGGTTCAAAGCAAAACATTCGACTCGATAACAGGCGTCGGGTATAGTTCAGCCATTACGTCTTCGTTGTTCAAGCAGATTTTCTTACCCCAAATATCTATCTTCCCTTGGATTTTGTTGTTGAATCTGTCCGAGAAAGTTTCTTTCAACGACTCCACGCCCTCTTGATGGTTGAGTGACATCTGAGCCATGAGCACCTTTGCCACAATTCAATATTTTCAGTAGTGATTAGACTTCTGCTTATTGGTCACCGTTTCAAATGAAACAATCATGACAGTTACTCAGCATTTCTCGATGGAAAAAGTTACAGAAGTGTCCATCGAGGCCGTAGATTCGGACAATTGGGTGATCGGGAATTGACTCACTGGTTCGGCTTTTAGACGCCACACTTTCCAGAAACAGTGGGTCCGATAGCGGCGCCACAGTTTCCGGCCCCGGTCAAACTCATCGACTTCCTCAAATTCACTACACATATCTCTGTAGCTCATCTCGTCGTATTGCGGAATACCCTAACGTCAATTAACTCAATTGAAACCAGACAACATCAAACATGGCACCTGCTTTGGAGTCCAGCAAGATCGCCTTCATCGGTACGTCCCATGCAACACCAAACGACCACCCACGATGGCGGGGCTGACGCGGGGTATTCACAGGCGGCGGCAACATGGCCGCAGCGATCATCGGAGGCCTGGTCGCAAAGGGCATCGACAAGCAAAACGTCACCGTCTCGGAGCCCTGGGATGTGAACCGTGAAAAGATGGCCGCCCTCGGCGTCAAGACCACGACATCCAACGCTGAGGCCTTTGTCGGCGCCGACATTGCCATCCTGGCCGTGAAGCCCCAGGTTGCAAAGGGCGTCTGCAGCGAGCTCGGCAAGGCCGTCTCGGGCCAGCAGAAGGTTCCTGTAGTCGTCTCAATCGCCGCTGGTATCACCCTCGAGGCCCTGCAGAAGTGGCTGGCGCTCGACGACGGCCGGTCCCCGCACGTCGTGCGTGTCATGCCCAACACCCCTGCTCTGGTGGGCGAGGGCGCATCTGGTCTGTTCGCGGGCAGCGACGTGACCGAAGACGAGAAGAAGTTGACCGAGTCTCTCATGGCGAGCGTCAGTAAGGCGACGGAGTGGGTTGACAAGGAGGAGCTAATTGACGTTGTCACAGGCTTGTCAGGTGAGTCATGCCCGGACACAATGCATCAGTCGTCAACGAAAGAGGACAAATCCAACAAAATCCCATAGGATCTGGCCCTGCATACTTCTTCGCCATGGTCGAGCATCTCATTTCCAGCGCCGTTGGCCTTGGCCTCTCCCCCGAGCAGGCGAAGCGCTTGGCCACCCAGACCTGTCTCGGTGCCGGCAAGATGCTCGTCGAGTCCCCCGAGGAGCCCAGTCAGCTTCGCAAGAATGTCACCAGCCCCAACGGTACCACACATGCTGCTCTTCAGAGCTTCGAGGCATCCGGCTTCCAGGAGATCGTCAACAAGGCTGTCAAGGCTGCAGCGGATCGCGGTGAGGAGCTCGGAAAGACTCTGGGCAACCAATAAGGCAGTTGGTCCGCAAGAAAAACTGCACTTTTTCCAGATCTTTGGGACGCTATATTGAGGGCAACAAAAATAACGCTAGGTACGGGTTTAGACCTCAAAATGGGAGGGTTGGGTCTGGCAAGGTAGATACATGAATAGATGTAAAGATGACGACCAAAGCTCGCTTAACACCCAATCCAACGAATCCGATGATTCATGGATTCTGCAAGTGAGTTATTTGGTTGTGCCGTTGCCCAATTGCTACGTTTCCCTTCCTCGCACTTTAGCCTGATGTTCACCGTAAGGACTCGACAGGTCTAGTCGCGGGGGGGAGCAACATCAGTCCTATTCTTCACTCAGCGTGCCACCTCCTTTGAAGATGAATCACAATCGGCTACAACACCAAAAGACCCAGAGATCCCTAGTCGGAACATTCAAATTTCAAATGGTGGCACTGTAACTGGGCAGCTTATCTGCCCTACCCAAAGGTGCCAACAGATCTCAGAGCCTTCAGCTCAGTTGTCATATCGCGAACCACCTGGCCATATCTCCTAAATCCCTATACGGCATAGATAATCCATCCCCGTGTGGTCTAGCTCGTGTCACATTCCAACCCCAAGACCGTCCAAATTGAAGACAATTGGTC